AAACCGTTCCAACTCAATCTGGTCGACGCAAATAACAATAGATTGACTGCACACTTTATAGACCTGAGAACTTTTTAGACTTGCAAGAACAGCACTAATGGAACCCCCAAGGCTTAGTGCATCAGCACAACTTGGCGCAGAACAACAGGCAGAGATCTCAATAATGCAAATTATAGCTGGAATAATATATGCCGCGAAGCACCCAATAGAGTTAGATTTAGATCAATGGTAGAGTCCCTAAATAAGTAAGTGATATGTCTATACAGTTTACTTTCCAAAATAATGGACTTTGAAGTTGAATATTTTAATATGAAAACTATCAACAACAACTAGACACTCCGGTTCCAAAAATGGCAGGGTCTACGTCACGGAGCTACCTGTCAATCTTGACGACCAAACAGGGATTTTACAAGGAGATCCTCACCGGCTACTACAACAACAATTAGACACACCAACTGGAAATAAATTCTGGATACAGATTTTTATTAGCTGCCGATTAAAGTGATATATAAACACTAGCGTTTTAAAGTGTTACAAAGCCTCGAATATAACTGACACGTCTATTTTTGTGACGCGTTGTTTATGCAGTCCATGTAAAAGTTGGGTATAATAATTGGAACCCGATGAGTGTGTAGTTTTCTGCGTGAGCTATTAATATAAAAAGTTAAGCAATTTAAACCGCAGTATCTCGAGAAGTAGGCTATATAAACATATAGCTATAACCTTATAATAGAAAAAGTTTTTCAAAATAGCTGATCTAATTACTATCCGTTATCGAAAATAGGCGTGCCCGAGAAATCAGAAACGCACCTCTACCCTTTTATTTTTATTACAGATTTATTCTGAAGAAGTGATCTTTGACCAATACATTTTTTGCATGGAAGATATTGGATCAGTCTGACGTATCGTAAAGTATCTTTAACGTTAAGAGTTTTTAATACTACACAAGATTACTATTGTAACCCGGATTAAAGTCGACTTTAAAGAAGATTTTGTATGATCGATTCTATATTCAGGCACAGTTTTGATAGAAAACTTAAACTCAATAAATTGCATTGGTTTTTAGAGAAGTATTGGATTATGATTAAATTAGGGGTTTATGAAAAGGTTGTCATAAATATTATGGGAACCTTCTCTACTTCTGAGTGATAGAATGTAACAATGCTAGAAAGAAATATGTAGTTTGCATAATTGAACAGTTTTTCAGAATTTAATATATAATCTTTGAAAGTCCAGTATTATATTATTAACCCATATATTTTTTTTCATTTTTTGTTTATATTAAAAGGTGAAAAAACTGGCTTCGTACAAGTTGGACCGGAAAAATACTTTTTTCCTAACAAATACAAAAATGAGGCAAAGGAATATTATAATTTTGAAGCACGCTCCGATGATGTGTGGATTGCAACGTTTCCACGTTCCGGTACCACTTGGACACAAGAAATGATTTGGTTAATAGCAAATAATTTGGATTTCGATGCAGCTAAGAGTCAACTACTAACAGAAAGATTTCCATTCTTTGAGTTAGTATAATATGTTAAATTAAAATTTAAAAAAAATATGTGTAATCCAATTATAATAAAATTTATAGATTTCCATTGTTCGTACATCCGGAGATAAAAAGCAAATTAATAGAAGAAAATGCAAATGATGCAGATAACTTGAAATTCATAGAATTAATATCACGTCCAGGTTATCAGTCTTTAAGTGAAATTGAAATCGGTAAAAGACGATTTATAAAGACACACTTTCCATTCTCATTATTGCCACCCAGTGTGTTGGAGAAGAAATGCAAGGTGAGTTCTTACAAAACAAAAAAAAATATTAAATAAATCGTTGAAAAATATTATTTCTACTATAAGATCATTTATGTAACACGCGATCCTAAAGATGTAGCAGTGTCTTATTATCATCTTAACAGATTATATCGTACACAAGGTTATGTAGGAGATTTCTCACGTTACTGGTCTTATTTTGAAAGAGGACTAAGTATATATATTTATTATTATTTATTTATTTAAATTATTCTTAATATTGTTTATCTTAAAGATCCTTGGTTACCATACCACAGTCATATTAAAGAAGCACTTGCTCATAGTCATTTACCTAATGTGTTGATGTTGAAATATGAAGACATGCTTAAGGATTTGAGTGCCACCATTACAAAACTTGCTAGTTTTCTTGATTGCAACCTGACCACTGAAGGTTTAGAAAATCTTATCAATCATTTGAACATAACGAATTTCCGTAAAAATTCTGCTGTGAATGGTCATGAAATGGAAGCCATCGGAATTCTTAATAAAGGAGAAGCGGGTTTTGTGCGTACTGGCGGTAGTGGTGTGCAAAAGGAGTATACAGATAATCCAGAAATTCTAAAAAAAGCAAATAATTGGTTGGAAAGGCAACAAATAGATTTAATATGAAATTATTGTTTTTTTAAAGCATATTTTAATTAATAGTTACTATATAGAAATATACATAGACATATAAATATACATATATAAAATAATGTATGTCTTTGCTTAATATGTTTAAAGTGAGTTAAAATAATATAATAATAATACGTTCAACTGGCATTGACTGTATAAAGACCTTTTCCAGCGCTTTTTTAATGGTGAGCTATACCCAGTTGGGTTGTACTGGTCCTTTAAGTTTCGTCTCGTCCTTATAGCGTTCACAGTAAAACGCTTATAGTATGTTTCCACTGGCTTCGTTAGACCAGTTCACTTACTTGAGATTGCTTGAATTACTTGCATCTCAAGTAAGTTCACTGGTCTAACGAAGCCAGTGAAAACGTTCTATTCGTTTGTTTCACTAAGAAAAATAAATTATTACAGCCAGCCAACAATTGTATTTGGGGGTTTTCGGGTTAGGCTAAGGCCCCTATGCATTGCGACCAGTTTGATCTATTGTGCATCCAATAATAACAATAGTAGAGTATTAAACAAATGTTTAAATAAAACTTTATATCGCATATAATTAATTAGTGCATAGTAAATATAACCGAGAGCGATAACAGTGAACAACCCTGATTGTGTTCAATTGGTATAAAATTAGTAAAAGAAGAAAGAAATTACAATACAAAGAAAGAATTTAAGTAGTTTTAAAACAAATGTTTTCAAAAAACTTGTGTATGTATTTTTGTTATTTAGTGAACGCTTTAAAAACTTATTAAATACAAGTTTGTGTATAAATTTAAAATCTGGTCTTAAGTGAGCCACCACACCGACAGTGTGTTATTTGTTTGTTGGTAAGGCAGTTTCAGTTTACAGCACTTTAGCTGTCAAAATCCCATTCCTCCACAAAAGGCTCTATTACTAACAATCTCAATTAAATTGATAAGAAAATGCTAGAAGGCTGGTATTGTCGCACAATGGCTAATGAACAAGCTGCACAACAGGAGGAAACATCAGATCCGAATGAAAATTCAGGTTCAGACGATGAACAAGTACAAAGACACACTATGACAGGAAAATCCGATGAAGCAGAACCGGATTACAAAGAGAAATATCGTCAGTTGAAACGAAAGTTTAAATTTTTGATATACGTAAGTTTGTTATAAGTAAAAATAGTAATAAAAAAATCAATATTATATATATAAATTGTATTTTAGGAAAATGAAAGTTTTCAAGAAGCATTGCGTGTGAATCAACGTCGTCTGCTTAAGATTGATAGAGATTCAACATTTTTGTTGGAACGTTTGTTGATGTACGAAAAACCAGAAAATACATCATCAGAAAGCGAAGAAACAGAATCATCCGA